AATTTTCCGGAAGAAACGGGAAATGGCGAATTGAATTTGATCGCGCGCGTAGTCAATTGTACAGAACCATGCGAATACAGTATATATTCTCAAGATATACATGTATATATGTGTATGTATATTATACATGCTGAGCTATTGGTTTCCCGCGTACTATTGTGATAGTGAACTGTCCTAAGCTCTGTAATTACTTTCATTGCATCTCTTTCAATCTTGTATGTTCGATACACAGCGACGCCGTAATTAATTAAAGCTTCGAATTAAATTCCTTCGCTGTCTTCATGAACACAAGACGTTCCATTGATTTTATCCAACGAGTTTGCCGACCATAGTTTCCCCCCACAAAATTGTTCACCAACCAATATCGCTTTCCTGACCTTCCACGCATGAGGTCCTTTCTTCTTTTTTTTTTTTATCAGGTACGATCGCGTAAATTATAAACGCTGATCGATAACGGGAACATGACGAAACGGAGACGAGCGCAAAGACTGACCTTTCGTATATAAAAAAAAGGTAAATAAATGAAGAGGCAAAGCGAGAAAACGATCGTCGCTCGCTCGAATTAATCCGGAGTTAATCGGCCGTTAAGCCTGTTCGGTGAACGATGGCGGTGCATCGGCACGTGTATACGTCGCACCACTCTCGGGACAAATCGATCCTGGAACTGACCTAAGTTAGAGACCGTCCCCGCTCGCTGAAGGTAAAAAGGACCATAAATCAAGCATATTGAAGAGATTGCGCACAGCTGTTTAACTTGGTTGAAATACGGATTTTGAGACTTCTGACGAAGCAAAAATTTCGTCGATAATCTCGGTTAATTTGTCGAAAATATTGACACAGTTTCAGTCTAGACGCATGGCAATCGATTATAAGATCTATTTTTCTACATTCTATTTTTTGATGCGTGTATTCTAGGTAAAATGCTTATATATAATTTATAAGACGAATAATAATTATCTCCGTTATATTGAGATCACTATGCAATTAAACACAAAAATAACAAAGGTTCGAAATAAAGTGTTATTAAGGATAAGAGATTATTCTATGCTATATGATGCTATTTCCTTTTTTCGTTGATTTACATTCTTCGTATATGCAACATATCTTAAATTTAAATAAATGTTATCAATAACATCTAATTAAAATAGGAATAAAATAATAGTCAGACATTTATAATTATTTATAACAGAAAAATTCGAGTGCCTTAACAATTTATTTTATTCTAATTGTTTGGAACTAAGTTCAAAACTAAATATTGTTTTAGTTATTCGTTATGCCATTTAGTTGTCTGAATCACTATACAATTTTCTGCAGTTTATCTTATTGTTAGGTACAAAAATGATCTAAGCTCTAATCTTATAATTAAAAAAAAAAAATATATTCTTTTTATTTCAATTATTTAAGATATTTAACAATTATGAAGAAACTTTGTGAAACCGTTTGTCTTGGAAGTGCGCCACGACGGATATCTCGGCGTCTCAGTGGCGTCGCGACGTCGCTAACAAACGACGGCAGTGGCATAGCCCTGTTACGCTTTGCCCGGAGCTTTTACGCGCGCCTCGTCGGAGCTTTTACCCATGCTGCGAGCTCTTCGGGAGCGCTTTTAACAGCCTTCGAACCACCGCGCCGGCTCCCTTCTCTCTCTTGTTCTATAACCCCTTTTAACACCGACCCGTACACGGACGGCGACGTGTCGAGAGATTTATCGTACCTGTATATTGCGAGGCATCTTAATCGCTCGTGAAAGCCGCGGCGCGTGAGCTTTCGCGAAGTCTTCCCTCGATTTTCCCGGCTTGTTCGCACGAGCCGCGATTCCCGAATGGGATATTACGGATATTAGATTCCACGGGATAGCGGAATGTATTCATGCTCTCGAGAAAGAAGATCAGTTTTGGAGGACGCTAGGGAACTTTTTACTACGAATTTTTAACGCGTAAACACGTACGACAATTATTAAAAGACGTTATATAAATATTTATAAAATAATTTTATTCTTAACGAAATATATCTTATCTAATTTATCGCGACTGATAGGAAAATGTATATAAACATTTTATTATAACTTGACGTTATCATAAAATTTTATTTGTCCAAGCACTAGTTACTTTATTTATTCCAAATTTCACGGCGATTGTAAAATCGCCAGTTTTGCGCTGACGAAGAAAAAGAAACCGATTTCAACGTCGTCAATAGTTTCTCTCTAATATGTCGCCCCGTCTTTTTCAGTATTTTAGTATTTCCGAGCAAACCACGTACTTATCGATCCGGACGATTTTGCCGGAAGTCAGCCGGTCGTTACCCTCGATCGCCTTTATCAACCCTTATAGCTACATCACTTGTCCGCCAATACCGGACGGTCTAAGCTAATTTTATACCCACTCCCCCGCGTTCCCAACAAACCCCTCCCCCCTCTCGCTCATTGGGAACTTTGAGACACGTTGTAAAAGTAATCCCGATTCATTTCCGCGGGATTGCCCATGTCATTCTTTTCTCTTTCTCCTCTTACCCCTATCCAGCTCGCCGCAACCCCCCGTCCATCGATGCAAAGAGTTAACGAGAAAAGTAATCCAATTTTGATCCAGCAACGGAGAGTAACCCGATCGGGACGCGCAGTTGCTTCGTATCGCGCTACGGCATTTCTGTTGTCGAGGATAAATTCTGAAGATGTATCTCAATTGTAAGATATCGTGACCAATTATGCTCCACATTGCATCGCTTAATCATTTATTTGATTCTACATTTCGAAACAATTACTACATCTGTAAACTTTAATTATGTAATTATACTTACCAAAAAAATCTTTTATTGCAATATCAACTCATTTAGTTACTGTAGATGCAGTTAATCTCTTTTTTTGTTTCTAGAAGACGTTAATTTGATAATTTTTATTTTACTTCTATTTTATCGAATAGACAAAGTATTCTAATTTGTTTCGCACAAACGCACGCGAACACAAACGCACACACTTACCGTAACGGAAAGAATTTATAAAGGAAAAGCAATATCACAGGAAAAGACTTCGGTGAAGTCAAGTCAAGTCCCATAAGGAGTTCAGCTCCTACATGTTTATCTGCGACACTCATGGGAAAATCGTGCACAGCGACGAATCTGTGTCGCGTGTGCAACGTCGCCGGAGAATTTGATCTCACCAGGGAACTTAACTAAGTTATATACGTCTCGAAACACGATTTCATCCTAGATTTTAGCTGATCTGCTTCGCTCACGATGACGACATTGGCGATGTTAGACGGCTAAATTATCATTTGAACCGCGAGCTCAATTGAGCTGTACGACTTCTCATATTCTGCAAAATTGTGCTAGCCGTTCTTATTATGATTACTTTACTGATAACATTACAAATAACAGAATGATATAAACAATATAATGATTGAATCGCTATTATTTTCTTTTTACACGTACGTACGTATATTTTTCAATTCTGTTAAGCCACAAGTAATGAGTGCCATTCAGCTAAGCTAAGAGGATTAAAACGGTGACGAATCCGGTAATTACTTCGTGAAGTGTTGCAAAGGATTACGAGCGACCGTGAACACTGCGACGCGTGAAAGGCTGCGCGTGTGCGTGTGCGTTTTAAACAGCCGTGCGACAACGAGCGACCGAATTTACCTCCGAATTTACCCTCGGCGTATCCGAGTGCCCTCGAGGTAGCGCCGACCCCTTCTTTCATTGGACGGATCGTTTCATCCCCAAAAATGCGCGCGTTATTCGTGCCGACCGCCCCGAAACGGTAATCACGAAGTTGAAGGAGAGAGTCGCGCGAGAGGCGGCAGACGAGGGGGGATGGGAAAAGCCCGCGGGATGTTTCCTGTTTCGTGCCTAACAATGGCACTTTTCTCCGGGCGATTTCCATCCATCGCGTTCGTGAGAACGATTTTCATCCATCCGCGGATTCGAGCAACGATGAATTTCAGGTGTTCCGGCATGCCCGATTAACCTTTTTAACCCGTCGTCTTCTGCGCGATAAGCATGGTGATTTATTCGTTCGCATCGTCGAATGCGACAAATTAATCGAAAATTGACATCGTGAATTTTTATTTCAAATTCGAGCATTGATTTTACTAGAAAATGAAAAAATCTATACATATTTATTTCTCAACTATTTGTATATCTTATAATAGCAGTGTTTCTCAATTGTATTTTTGTATCTGTCAGTTTTTTTTTTTTTTTTAATTGTAATCAAGAATCGAGGTTAAGGAAATTGCTTTCGAAGCAAGTTTGAAATTACTGCTAACTGTGTGTTTTAAGTAAACAGCAGCTTCGCAGCAAACAAGAGGCGCTTATAACGAGTACAGTAATTTCTGCGCTTAATTTGGAACTTGACACTCGTTAATGCAAACATGCGAGCATGTAGAAGTGCGTTCCTTCACAAGCGCGGGAAAACAATGTTTTGGCGCGTTCTCCGCAAACCCGAAGCGCTTTGTGTACGTAGCCGTTGTCTCTCGGATTCTGAAAACTAAATTGCATTTGCCGGAACTCTCGACGAGCATCTTGCGCCGGGGCTGCAAGTATTCCTTCTTCAAACACACTCGAGTTGCGGTATATATCGTAAAAACATTTCGCTCGCCATTGTTTCCCTTTTCGTTCCCTGCTTTCGTATCGACAAGAAACCGACGATCGACGATGAATGCGGTAGCAAAACTTTTATTCTACAACTTTCAGTTTGTTTAGTATTTAATTGAAAATAATTTAGACTGCTAATTTATTTCTGTCGATAGGTCAGCCGCTTGGATTGCTCCATTCTTACAATATTTATTTATTACATAATTATTTTTTAACACAGCCACAACAGATGTATTTTGTTGAATATATTGAAATTTCGTAAACACACAAGAGAAGGAAATGTTATTTGAAAACATATTTTGCTTTGATACGGCAGAACGCTTATATTGTGTTATTCGCGATCGAGTGCGCCGATTGCTTTACAGTCTTTACAGAATATTGTCGATTAATCTGTATTTTTTTTTCTTGTCTGTTTACAGCGAAGGAACTGAAAATATGCGGCAGCGCAAGAAGCGGCGGCGAGGTGTGCTGCTCGGCCGACATGGAATTGAGACTACAGGCACGGGCACGCGACAAGCACGAGAAGATCATAAAAGATACTCTCCAGAGACTGCACCAAGTCCTGTTTTCGCGAGGAATCAAGTTCCACAGTGAGTAGCGCTTATATTTTCCCGATTCTATCGATAAAAGAACGTCCAGTGCGTGACGCGCACTGCGACGTCCGATGAAAATATGTACGTGCCCGCTCCCTCTCTTTCTTTCACTTTATCGAGAAATTGAATGAATGATTGAAGGCGGAAGAAAGAGTAAAGCGCCCCCAGTTACTTATTATCTAATATATAAAATTAAAAATTTTAAAATTAATATTAAAAGTTTATAGTAAAAAGTTATCAATGCGCATGTCACTTAAATATTGAAGAATTATTACTCGTGTTAGAGAATACAGCGTTATTAATTATGAGATAAATTTGTAATATGAAAGATACGATATATGTGGATTATACGATGGAATTCTAGATATAACACGTATTTAAATCTTAGGCAAAATCTGAGGCAAAAATACGAGGCGTATCATCTCCGATAGGAGCCTTTTGGGGTAAAGGAGATGGAAATTAAATTTTGTGTTTTAATATTCGCGATTAACAAGTCCCTCTCGTGTCTCCGATACAAACTTCAACGTAAACCGTTCCTCTGCTTTCCATCTCGGCCAGCATTTTATTCGCTTTACACCGGCGAAACTTTTTAATCGCCTTATTCAAATCCTTTTAATCCACTTATTCGAAAGTAACGCGCTGCGTTCGTATATTCAGCATCCGAAAGTAAAGCCAATATTTCATAGTAAGAGACTCGAGTTTCCAACAGCCGGAAAGGCGAGGCGTGGAAGGGATACTTTTCGTTTTTGTTTATACGAAGGAGTCTTCCAAGAGTCTCACCGTGTAAGAACAATGTAAGATTATAACATGAGATCGAACGTACGGAAAAAGGAACTTGAAGTTGCGAGAAGGAAACTTTTGTGAAAGATATCAAACATATAAAGTATAAAGTTGAAGGAAGTGCGAAGATGAGCAATAAGATTTGCGATTTTAATTTTTATATTTTAAACAGCGAGATTAGCGAAGTATCTCTTTCATCTCCGCCGCACGAAAACCACCCTCGCGAATGATCGAGCGGTTTAACCGACCAAACCCCACTCGTTCGGCCACCCTCGGCGAATACCCGAGTTTACCCTCTGGACATTCCGCGCATTTTTTTTTTAAATGGCATGCTCGAAACACGATCGGACGCGCACTCTCGTTCGTCTTACGCGTCCCAAAGTGGGCGGAGGGTTGGGGTGAGTGGAATGAAAGGAAGATTTCAGAGATAACGGCGGTACGGCTCGAAACGGAAGAGTGGTTGTTGACGACCTCTCGCCGTAGCCGCGCGCTCCTCGAAGCCGAGAGCGAGCCTTCGCGAGGTTTTTTTCTAATTAAAGAGGAACCGCAGACTGCATCGACGAGTGTCCACGAGGGTCATACGTGCGTATACTTAATGCAGATACTGTCTCGTGCGTGCGCTCGAGGAGGCATCTGCATGCAGGCTCTGTTGTGTGAACGTATCGACTCGATTGTGTCAACATACGAAGAGAAAAAAAATAATGGTGTACGCAAAATGATTTAAAGGCGGTGACATGTCTTAAATAAAAGATAAGAAAAGACAATAGTTGTATTAAGTAATAAAAATGGTTATATTAATCGTATAAAATAATAACTTTTCACAATAGAAGCTTTTATTATCAAGAGTACACTTTTCTGTGTAATCATAATTGTAAGAATAACTATAACAGTTTCTTTATATTATTTAAAATAAAGTCTTATGTTGAAAAAATTTAAAATAACTTTTGTTCCGTTGAATGCTAATCCTGTTTTGATTCCATAAATCTCTGTCTACAAATAGTCTAGAGTACGGAGAAAATACATAGTCTTTGTTTTCTTGTTTCGAAGTTACAAGTTTGGTGAACTTGCTGGAGAACGATATCGCAGCGTTGTCTAAAAAAAAATAATTACAATAAATAATCATATTCATCGTTAATAGATTAATTTTGTTTACTAAAATTTTGTATTACAAACCAATATCGTTAATAACAATTTTATTATAATGTTTAGTGGCAAAATTCGCGGTTTGTTTCTAATAAAAATGTATCAGTACAAAATTATTTTGCACATTTTATATGCACGATTCAAAAAATAATTAACACATCAAATAACTATCTATAACAATATAAATTGACATTTTACCAAAGATTAACATTAAACAGATGACGGTCCACAATGTTTGCCTCATCTTGTATAATATTGTTTAATTCCTTCTTTCACAGAAAAAAGTTAATTCAAGTTGAAATCAAGTCACTTCGTTTTTTTTATTAGTCTTTTTAATCAATTTTCTCAATTGCCTGAAAGTAATAAAATAATCATCTTGTATGTTGAAATCGTAGAATATTGCTTTTAAATTTTCATTTTGAATTATTTATTTTAATATAATGTAAATCAGATCCAATGGATTATATTCTATTATATTTTAAAAAACATAATTTATATAATTGTTAAGATCTATCATCTAAAATGTATAAGTACAGACAAATTTGCACAAACATTGGCTCAACAGCTTACATATTCTTATATAAATTTGTTATTTCCTTTTATTCTATGTAAATTTTTTATACAAATTTAATAGAAATCAATTATTAAATTATATCGAAATATAAATAATTAATATATCAACACTCTACAACAATGTGATGTTTTCCACTTTTGCAATTAATATAATAATTATGAAGATATAATAATTATGAAGATAATAAATAATGCAAGCAAAATGTAATTTCAATTACGCGGAGAAAATAAAGTGTTTAGCTTTAATGTATTGCTTGATAAGATCACAAAACAACTTTGAATGACGCGTATAATGTACACAACAGTTGAAACAGTTTTACTAAACAGAATTTATCACAAATGAGACAAATAAATTCATTAATGTAATCATGTCATCATCAAACCGAGTGCTATTAATTTTCATTACATAAATAATTCTCAATTAACATATTACATTAATCGAAACGATAATTTTGTTGTCTACGATGCCCGAGATTTTTAGTTTTTATCATATATGCTCACCAAATGCTATAATAATGTAAAATTTCCATAAAATATTGCAAAACTTGTTAAATGTGTGGCAATTAATGACACAATAAAATGACGTAAATGATGATGAGCTATAAGAAAAAATATGGCAACGCCTACATTCCACAGTGGTTTTTAATTGCACTAAAAATAAAAATACATAACACAGAAATTCGTGGAGATGAAAATTAAAGAAAGACCGAACACAGTATCTAGTTTAATGCTCCATCCAGTTTGAAACAGAAATTAGTAACTTTACAAATGTCGGTTTATCTTACCAAATTGAGATTCATCCGTCTGTACGTCTTTCTTGTACACGCGACATCAGAACAATGCCAAGTCTGCGGCCCATGTAAAATATAAACAAGTGAGTTTTCTTAGTGAGGCTAGTTGATCCATTCGTTTGACCTCTATTAATTATACCAAAATCAATTGCAAATTCGTGAGTTTACAGGAAGAATATATAGTCGACGGGAAATAGCGCGGTGGAAAAAAGATATCTCGTATATCTTACCGAATCTATTCGGCAGGGATAAAAGCCGCCTGCGCCGCAAATAAAAGCGTCTTTATTGATTTGTTGTTTGACGATTTATAGGGAGAGTCTGTCGCGTTTTCCGTCACGTAAATGGCGCAAGGGATCATCAGGATATCCGCCATTCCCAATCGTTTCCTCTATATTTGTACATTTCTGCCAGTAACCGTCCACCCCAAAGTGTTTTCGCACATTCGCATTTGCATATACATTTTAGATGTGTGAATTCCAGGTGCCTAAAATTTGATTTGTCCGAGTCGACCAAACGTGTTTGCGAATATAATTCGATAATGAAACAATACAAGTGCATAAATTTTCATATTGTCACTTGATAAAAATTGTCTTTTATAAAAATCGTTCATTTCTTTTTTCAATTTATTCGCGATTTTATTCATTTATTTGTTTGCGTTTTTCTCGCCCATTATTGTATTCTTAATCAAAAATGATATCAATGTGATTTTTCATTATATTGTCTATATATTTTTATTAATATTTTTGTAATTTTGATTTATAACTTAAATTAAAAAATTAAGCAAATATTGCAATACAAAATTCTACAGCGTTTACATTGTTCTAGCTATTTTTTTTTTTTTTTTTTTACTGACATTCTATATATCTATCAGCTAAACTACGCTCGACTAAAACTCTTGGAACAAATATGGAATTTTGTCTACGCCGCGTTTTATTTATATTGACTTCCACTCGCGTTCCCATTACCTTCTGTCGCGTCAATATGTACTGGCAAACGTCTGCAAGATAACGACGCGAAAGCGACCCTATCCAGCCAACCTACAACGTATCTGCAACTTTGTGCGCCACAAACAAACGCTATTGCAGTTAGCCGTCTGCTCTGCAGCAATTAATAGGCAGCTGTTGAATGCGTGTACGCCGTCGTAATTAGCATCAATGCGGCAGGTAGCGTTAACAATTCGCACAATACTTGAATGCCCTCGGAATGCCTGTGTCGAGAACGATAATTATTCGAGCTTCCTTGAAACCGTTCCGAACGTTATCCATTGCCGTAAGCGCCAGCTGCATGCGCGCGAAGAACTGCTTCGAGAAATACAAGAAAACTTTTTAAACATTACGTATAACGGAATGCGCGAGCTCTTTTATGCACTTAAATAAATTTAATTACAGTCTCGCCTGACTTTTTCGATTTTTCACTACTTTTTACTCGCTGCGTTCTTTTTTGCTCGCTTTTTAACAACGCTAGATCTTACAACAACATGTGAAAAATTAGGAAACAAAATATTGTTGCTCAATTGTCGAAAATAAAATTCCTATGAAGTGTCTGTACAATTGACAGGCTTTGAGAATTCACGGATTTAGGCTGCAAAAGCCGTATGTCACGTTATGTAGAAATGTAATGCATGAGTTACGGTGAGACTTTCCCCGTTGTTTCACCATATAGAATATCGATGAACGAGGAAAATCGCATTGTCTCGGGCACGCCGGGGTCGCCCTACATACAGGGTGTTCCGCGACAGAATATTTACATTCGTGCACTTTGCAGGAAAAAAAAGCAGCGAGATATCTCATAAAATAGAAAAATTATTATCGAAATCCGATAGATTCGTGAATATTAAATCTATAGAATAGCATTAAAGAAAAACAAATGAAAAAACATTAAAAATCCCTATCTTTAAAGTAGTTCTAAATATTTTCGAAAAATTTTTCTGCGCCAGATGATATAAAATTATAAATTATTGTATAAAATGTAGTTTTCTTTTTTATTTTTTCTTAATTTAAAATAGAAAGAAAAGTTATGCATTATTTTGACTCCAAGTATATGTAAATGAAATATTCTGTCGTGGCACGTCCTGTATAAGCGATGGAGGATTCTTGTGCTTCGCAAAGGTTCTATGAACTTCCATCGAGAGAAGTGCTAGGTAAAGTGAGTACGTATCCGAGTTGATAGCGCCTCAAAAGGGCCTCGCCGCCTACGTGCAGCGGAAAAGATGGAAGACCGAGAAGCTTTCGCCTTCGAGTAATTTCGTTAACCAGGATCGTTAGACACCCAGAATGCTTCTCGAGTTGGAGCGTGTCCTAATTTTCACGCTAATTACTCGCACTTTGATGGACACTCTTGAATAGATTCGATCAAAGATCGTCTTTGATGAACTATGATTTAAACAGATTTTGGCGCTGAGCAAAAAGTAGCACTGAATAATTTTTTTCATTGTAGACTTCAGTGCATAATATATAATATATATTATATTATATTCATAGACACGTTATAAATTGTTACTTAATTCCAAATTGTGATATATTTATTTCGTTTAAATTATGTAATCGGAAATATCTACGTTCTAGCAATAAATTTACATTGACATTTGTTTTAATTGAATGCTAATTGTGATTTTATATGTGGTTATATTGCTTGTGCGGTGAATGTAATATTGACCTACTGCCTCGTGACCTATTCCGCCGAACAATTATTTCCACAATAAGGCATAGTTGTTAATAAATCTAATAATAAAGTTGCAAGACACACGGACATCGAAATGTCACGGCAACGGAACGATACTATTGACTCGGTCTTGCGACAGAAAAAAAACCGCAACTCTCGAGGGACAAAATGCAGCGCGGGCGGTACACGTGTAATACAGCAGGAGCAAGATAAGCAGTGTTTTTCCGCTCCCGATCCGCCGCCGCCGCCGCCGCCGCTTTCGCAACCCTCGCCCCTGCCCATCGTCGAACCTCCTTATCGTCACTTCAGCCGCGGGGAATGTGATTAAAATTCCTTTTAGCGACGGGCTCCCTCTCTGTCACGAGTCCGCGATGCCGACGACCGGCATCGCGCCGGGGTGTAAAAAGCACAGACGCACTTGACGGCGAGAGAGATGCCGAGAATGAGGGAAAGAGAGAAGGGTAGGGGAGAAAGGAATGAGGGGAGGGAGTCGAGAAGGCAACGGATGCGACTGGCTAGAGTTGCCGCAAGTTCGCCGAGCTTTTAATTCGCGATACGACCACTGCAAACGACGACGACGACGACGACGACGACGACGACGACGACTCGCACCCTGAAATCTCGGCTAATTTCCCGTTTCGCGCTTGGCCGCGATTTTCCGCTGCGAAAGGTGTCAAAGCGCCGGGAAACTTGTCGCGATAAGCCATTTCGAGATTTCCACGTATATAGAACTTCTTCATATTATGTTATGTAGAAAAAAAAAAATAACGATGATATACTTTTTGAACAAAAAGACACATAACCAGAAGTTGTAACAATGCAATAATAAAAGCTGTAATCAAGCATTGTCACAGTTATTTTAAGAATTCATTAATAAATCGCAATTGTAAATAAAAAAAACTTTTTTTTTGTTTTTTTTTTTTAGATTTTTTCAAGGAACTACTGTTAGACAGCAAGAAGGGCTTTCACGAGATGTTCAAGAAGACCTACGGCATCCTTTACGAACAGAATTCGTATGTCTTCACGGACTTCTTCAAGGAACTGGAGAGTTATTATCTGAAGGGAACGGTAAGTTTCTTTCTCCTCATTCTCTTTTTCTTCAAATTAAGATTCTCCATGCTAGAAAAGGCGTGTACAAACTTATTTTACTATTCGCTGAAAATTCCATTTGCAGCAGATATCTCTGCAATTTGTATTCAAATAATTGCAATATTCAAGGTTTCGGTATTCGCGAAAAGGAATAGTTCCGAGTACAAGTTCTTCTTTCTCTATTTTCCGAAATTATTGGTTCCGCGGAGAGCAATATTCTTTCAACCCCGAGCAATTTATTTACTTTTCGTTTGATGTCACGCGGTGTCCCCGTTGTACCGGTGAAAATTGCAATCGCGCATTAATTTTCCCGTCTTCTCCCGGCCTTCTTTGCCCCCCGGCACTCTTCGCCCGGTGCATTAAGCGCGAATAAATAGGATGGCGAGCTGTGAAGAAAATTTCCCGAGCTGCCAAGGCGCGTCTCGGCGATCTAAAGTTTATTACAACCCGTTTCGCGCAATTACGCCCGACGACACCCCTCCCGGCGCATTAGTAAGGGATCTAAGGTATCAGTAAATAAGAGAAACGCTCAATAAATTTTTTTTAAAGAATTGCGAGCGTATAATTACGTAAAGTAAGAGCACTTTCGAGTCGGTCGCAACTATCGATTGAAGCAGAAACGAAACAAGAACGCGGCGCTGTTATCGAGTCTCTGTAATTCGACAGATGACGCGATATCTTGATTTTCAAAGGGAAAAATTTATATCCTTTTCCTCGCGCTACAGACATTGTTCACTCCGGCTATTCGAAGTTATCGTTCTTAAGATCGATCCACATTGAACACGACGTGACGTGACGCAACGTATTACGCGTCAATTTACCTTACAACGTTAGTATCGTGACAGTGATATTGCAAAGTTATTATCAGGAAACACGTCAGAAACACGAACTGAGGAAGTAAAAACTTTGTTTTATAGCAAAAAATCCAAGACATGCTCTAAACTTTTAATTATCATTTTTTTTCCTACAACTGTAAGAGTTTAAAGAAGTTCAATAGCTTTTAAAGAGTTTTAAAAAAAAAATCGTTAAAAAATTATTTCGTTGAGTAGTGCAATTTTTGTTATGATTTTATATTTAAAATGGACTCGACAAATTGTTAACTAAATTGTTAACTCCACTCTTGTATCAAGAGTCGTATTTTTGATCCCAATCTTTTCTCGGGAAAATTATTCCAAACAATCGTCGCGAAAAACCGACGTGAACCGACTTTTACCCTTCTTTTCGATAACTTCTATCAAAATTGCGAGCAACCCTCTGTCTACGATGTCCGGTCTGCGTCTTTCCCAGGTTCGAAAGTTGGAGTGGAATCGCGTGCGAAGGCGAGTTTAATCAATGTGCTTTTGACGTCGTCGGCATCGTGTCTCGATAAAGGGATTGCCGGTCGGTGAAAGCGAAAATATCCCGCAACTTTGAAAGGGTCCCGTATGCGTCCTTCGCGTACCTATCTGTCTATCGAAGTGCTTCCACAATTATACTGCAATTTATCGAATTTTCCGAGCTCGCCGCCCTCCTCAGTCGGGCGCGGGCGTCTTCGGGTCCGTCTCGAGATGGAATTTAATTTTACTTGAAACACGATCGCGCACGCTGTGGTGTTGCGCCAGAAAGCGCGTTATTAAGCGAACGAACGAATGAAGAATCCGGAGCAAGCGCGAGATGTAATAAAGTTCCGATTGCTTAGGAGGATACCGGAGGATGCGAGACCGGCGGGCGCATTACGGCGAAATAAGAATGATGCATAACAACGTAAAGTACTGCAAGATTAAATCTGCAGTTTACGCGTAAGGACATTTACAAAGGAAAGGACTCTGAACGGTAGAAGTAAGCGATGCTATTTCTCCTCAAGCTCTACATTGAACAGACAGCATAATTATGTTTCAAAATTAAACAAGAGATTCCGCTAACTTAAACGCACGTGCTAGCAGATTTTCTCTGCTGAATTGTTAAATTTTACGTTTGGAAAAACAAGAATTGTTCCCTCGTTGACATTTAAGACACGAAGTTGTATTTTTGAGAAATATGACACGTAATATAATATTTTTAATGGAAAGTACGTGCGAAGCGTTATAATCGCTTCGGCGTCGCACTATTATCATGATAGAACTCAAAGTGTTAATAATAGCTGCTGCCTAGCGACTCGAAGAGGGATGCGTGACAGGTATGCGATATTGTCGTACAATTCGTCATGCGGGATCAAAAGGGAGAGAGAAAGACGACGATGGAGACGAGCCGGTTTGTCGATTGTCATTCAAATTGCCTTTCAAATTATTCACCGGCGCCACTCGAACCTGTTCCGCATGCACATGCGAAAGAATCGAAGTGCCGGTCGCGTGAATGCATTATTGTCGCAGCACGGCGTTATCGTGCGTTAACGCGTCGCTAATAAATTTATCGCTGATATTAATCTGTCGCGTTTCGGGGCGTTTTTAACGCGCAAACGTCGCGCGACTGTACGAGATATTGTTTCATGGACGAAAATTTGAGAGCAAAATGGCGTTTGTCGGAATTTTTAGGAGTTTATCGCAATATTTTATAACAGAATCACTTGAAATTTTTATCATAGATTTTTTTTATTTTGCAACTTGATCGTGTTATGTTTTGGAAAGGTTCGAAATTTTGCAAAACACTCAAGATAATTGAATGATGGTAATTGGAAAGTATATTGGAAGCTTGGAATTATATACAAGTACAAATTGTACAATATTATACAATAATTGGTTAATTGTTTTTATTATTGAGAACACGAAAGATTGAAATTCCGAATAAGTGTAATTTATTTTTGTTTTACTTAATATCTTAAAAGCATGTGATTAAACTAAATGGCGATGTTAAAACTGTGTTTTGCGTCGGGAGCATTCATGGATTAAATATATCGAATCAATTTATTCTTCTGTCCTTTTCTATCTCTCGCTTCTTCGTTTTATTCGCAATGTACAAGATCGTAGCAGCGAGATCGAGTTCTTAGCAGGCGCTCTTGTATTCTAATTGCGCGAGTAATTGCTGGAAGTCATTAATATTTCATTCAGCTACCGGGCTTGGCGACTCGATTATCGATTTTCGATTAATCCCAGTCATGATTGGGTCCAACGCAATTTATTTAAAGCTGAAAAAGTACGAGCTGTCTTCTGAATAATTATTACCGAATTATCATTGACTTGTGATTAATACAGTTTGATTGTATAAGCATTAAAATTAAATTTATGACACTAATTTATAATTGGATTTATAATAATTTTTTCGCATATTTAGTATTTTAAAGTTATATTTTTTGGTCAATAAATCATGTTTTTATTTTATGACGTTCTTAACAAATTTATAAAAATTAATTTTATAATAAAGAAAAAAATTAATAAATTACTATTATATTTTCTAAACTTTTGTTTGAGTTTTTTGATTAAAAGTTTTTGCATATGCTTGTGTGTGTGTTCAAGATAAAAAATATATGTTATTGTACGTATATATATATAATATTGAAATGCATTGGACATATAAAAAAATATATATTATTCGTGCATTCCAGGTGGACCTCGATGACGCTATGGACAATTTCTTTAACACTCTTTATCAGAAGATGTTCACGGTGCTCAACAGTCAGTACAACTTTGACAATAAATATCTGGAATGTGTAAGCGACCACATGAAGGAAATGCGACCATTCGGGGACGTGCCGCAGAAATTAAGCGTGCAAGTCAAACGATCCTTTGTGGCTACAAGAGCCTTCAGCCAAGCTCTGACGATCGCCGCGAACGTGCTGAAAAATATGCAAACGGTAAGAGCGTGCTGAAGATCGAGATAGCCCAAAGCGATTGCAGTCTTCAGTTTAACTGCATTTATTAACCAATTTTCAAGCAGATTTTATTAGAAATATGTCTGATTTGCATTCGGCATTCAATTTAATGATTAAAACTTTGGTCTTGGATCTTTCCAAAAACTCCCTAATTTTTAGAGAAACTTTAGGAGAGAATTAACAAATTTATTTGACAAGCGCTTTGATATTTCTTTTAAATAACTAATAAATAATTTGTAAGATACATGCATAGTTCGGCTAAACGTAGCATACATGTAATGTAATATCGCTATTCATCTTTTTTTTTAAATTAATTTTGTAATTATTTCTTTAAAATTCACGAATGCTTGTGCTTCTTACGCCACTATTTCGCCGTAATCGCGTATTGATTATAGAACATATTCTTTGTTGATTACAGCTAAAACCATCGATAGAATGCGCAGCTGCCGTGACCAGGATGACAGTCTGTCCATCCTGTAGTGGTATACCGGGCACCGTGCTGGCGTGCGGCGACATGTGTACCAATGTGATGAAGGGTTGCTTGGCGCATCACGCGGCACTCGACGCTGAATGGAATCAGTTCGTTGGTGAGCAATTTATCCTCCTTCAATGCCTTTATGCTTGACTATCGGCTATTATACCGAAAGAACACTAATCATCGACGTACACATGCGTGCAATCCATTGTGATACGCTGCAAATGTTTTCGTATCATATCATATTTCGTTCGTATAAAACGATACGACATTTATTACAAGAAAATTATTTCGAAAACTAAATAATAAAAATAGTAGTATTAATGCTTCGCACTTTTCTGATTAAAAAATTTCATTAAGAAATAATTTATCTCGGAACATAGCAATATTCTGTGCGAAATATTTTCGATTCTCTTCATCGCGCTGTTCTGCAAAATATAATAACTTCATTTGCAGCGTTTAATTCTAATCGATTCGTTTTTCCAATGCAGAGGCCGTAGACAAAGTCGCCGATCGGCTGCTCGGACCGTTCAACATCGAGGTGCTCGTGCGTCCGATCAATCTGAAGATCTCCGAGGCAATCATGAACTTCCAGGAGAGCAGCCAGGATGTGTCGCAGCGAGTGTTTACCGGCTGCGGTCGACCGGTGCTGGGCAGACGTAGGCGTAGAGACAATCGCGAGCTGGAATTGGAGTCCCTGAACTTCGATCAGGAAACGACGACGGATGATCGCTCCTTTTCTCACGTGGACAAGCTGGTAAAAGAGATACGCCAGCGGGTGCGCGACTCCAGGCAGTTCTGGATCTATTTACCCTATCGAATGTGCAACGAAGGTCTGGCGGTGCCACCCAGCAACACGAAGGAATGTTGGAACGGCACGCACGTGGACAAGTGAGTAAACAATCTCTCCTTTGTAATATTAACTCTTTGGCTGCGAACACCGTATACGTACACGGTGGATTGAGAAACTTCTCCAAACTGAGAACTCTATTAAAACAAATGAAATTTTAAGTGATTAATCGAAAGCTTGGTATATAAATTATCTCACGGAATATCTCAAGTTAATGACAATAAATTATATGTTTTAGGAAACTAGTTGCATTTTTTAACTGATAATAAACAAAAAGTTCTGCGAAAAAGTAACTAGATTTTGAAGTGATATTTTGGTTTGTGGTAAGCGTTGCAATAGTTTGGTTGTAGGAAACAGTATTTTGGTATAATAACTAGGTATAATGATGAGGTATTCTTTCCTCAAATTGTAAATCCAATAATTAGAAATGCACTTGGAACAACGTACACTCATGCACACCTTCGTATTCTTCCTTTAATTATCATTCCCGTCATTAGTCTCCGCGTTGTACGATCGTTAAAGAGACATGAACCCGGTAATTAGGGAAATATGACGGCGTATTCTTTGTGCGTTACACGACGTCGCGAGAATATTATCGATGCACACGATTGATTGTACGCGCATGTTATTCTTTCAGATACGTATACCCCGTGTCCTCGGACGGCGAATCTCAAATGATGAATCCAGAGGTACGCAGCATAGGAACAAAAACGATCGTGAAGGATCAGATTTTCGCGCTCAGCGGCATCACAAATAGGTTGAAGTTGGCATACAACGGGCAGGATGTCGACTGGTTAGACAACGGTGATTATCCGACGATTATCAACAATTCATTGGAATAATCTTATTGTAATGCTTAAAATTGTACTTATACGCCTATGTGAGCAATAACCATTTCTCTGATTTCACAGAGGACGAGGAGTGGAACGGTTCCGGCAGCGGTTCGGGTGGCGGTGCGTTCACCGACGACGAGGACGGCTACGGCGAGGGCTCCGGCTACGATAAGCCGCGCGTCGTAGAATCAGAGCCGGAACCGCCGCAGAAACAGCCGCTGCCGCCAGTTGTCCACGAGCCGGAATCGCCGAAGGTGGACATCGCCGAGGATCCGCAAAAGGGCACCGGCACGAGCAACGCGGACGCAGGTAACAACCAAACCACCGCCGTGGACAGTGGCGGCAGCGCCAGCAGGCAGAAGATGTCGCTGTCCAGGGCGCTGACGACGTACCTGGTGCCGATAGTGGTGATGTGGTTCGGCGGTGTCTTCAATGAGATTCTGTGATTGTGCGGACCCCGCGACTGTGAGCGTAGCGCAGTGTAAATAATATTATTCGTTTGCGTGCCACGATCTCCGACGGAGATCGATGGAGGATGAGAAGAGGACTAACGACGGACTCTCGCTTCGCGAATCTCGCGGAGCTCCGCCAAGGACGCTTCGAGAAGAAATGGGTCAGAAGACGTTTTTTGCAAACGGAGCGTCCCCGAATCCATTCCCAGACCTCGATATAATTACTCGCTAAATCGACACAATTGATCGACCTTTCGGAATTTTAGATGTATAGTATTTTAGACGTGTTAACGTTGTATCAGATTCTTACCGCGAATTACCGAAATTCGAGCTTCTGCGTAAAGAAATCATCAGCCGTGATAGGATACCGCATTTTAATCTAAACCGAGTCTTTCCGAATTTAAGATTATATTACCTTGTCAGAATTTTACTGCCAATCGAAATTACGAGTTCGAACGAATTATCGATAATGCGAGTAAAGAATTTATCATCACGGAGAGATGACTCATACGGATCGGATCGAATCTTTCTGAACTTTAGATGCACTCTTTTAACCTTATAGAAATATTACTGCCAACTGAGAATTTTCACACTTTCTCACCCTTTTTATCCGAATATTCGATGATACCGTAATATTATCCTCTATTTCATCTATTTCGGACACTTCAGGCGTTTGATAAGCGTCAAATCGTACGGCCAAAGATGAGATCGTCGATCAAACGGGTGCGATTACTTATCGATATCTTGCGTACATCGTACCGCATAGCGTGTCGATAATCGCTGCACGAGCGTAATTGAAAAGCAATGTATCCCATGCGCCGATAATCGCGGCGATTTCGTTATACACAAACCCGAAACAATCATGCGACGAGAGAGACGGAAACATTATAACATATACGTAAAACGAACTGAACAGAGTATACGAGCGGAAGCAGGACTGAGTATTTATTAAGTGTTCGACAGGATTTCGAATGCACACGAGTCCTGAGTACGTGGCAGGAGGCACGAACAATCAGAATCCTTGTCCTCGTGACGTTTCGTCATGTATGGATTTTTGCTGCGACCCCGTATATACATATATGCCATATTGATTAAAATAATCTTCGCTTCGTGCGACAGAAGTGCGAAGATTTTAACCGAGTAATTTTAGCGCTGAATGACACCGCTTGATTTTAATTTTACATTAGCAATGAACGCGATCTATTAACATTAGATCATTATTGTATTATTATTATCTTTTATAGAATTATTGAAAGATGCAAAAGAATCGTAAAGTACGGGATTGCGGCGACACCGTAAATCCAGACGAGGATTCAACTTGGCTCACGTTATATGCGAGATTTATTAATGGAAAGTACAGTGTTCTCGGCGCTGTCGGTATTGCCAATGACAAATATGATCCCTTCGGACAGCTCGATACGATGCAATCAAGTGGAAGTAGCAATTAATCGATAATAATGGCTTCAGTGAATTCCGAAGGGGATATGTTTGATATTATCGCGAAACCGAACCGTAACACTGTAGCATTAATTTGCTTTAGAATTAAAAGCATGGAAAACGCGCGTGAAAGATATTCGTTATGATATAAGATGTAAATAAGGAGAATGGCGATAAGAATAAAAAAAAAAGAGTGTGATAAGAATGCGGAGACGCGTACACCTTTCGCGTTTGAAATGAAATATATGTACATGCGCTTCAGACATCATAGAACGAAAAGGGAAAACGAAAAAATTATGAATGATGTAGAAAGTGCAGTTGTAAAAAGGAAATAGAACTTTTGTTCCTCGATATTGTATTGTGGAACGGCCGATTTCGCATTCGTCATTGTACGAACTATCGAACAAAATGATGGTATTTGTCAGCAATGTCATTATTTTTCCAATTGCTTTTAATTAGACTTTGTTACGAGGTTATTTTTTAACTTAATAAATAAATGTAAGATATATAATGTTGAATTGTAAATAAAATTAACAGTTATTTTTTTAAGAAATTATAAGCTTCTTAAATACAAAATCTTTTTTGCGTAAAATGTCTGGCGTCTTGTGTAAACAAATTTTTGTCCGGTTTTTTTTTATGTTATGTATTTTTATATTAACCATTCTTCGAGCTATTCATGTTTCGTCAAAATGTATGACTTATACCATTATACCGTTCAACGGCTTATATTACCCGCTATTTTGCCGTATTGTTCGCGTAGCCATTGTCAACTCGAAGGTAACAGTGTCAAAGTGATGTGAGAAAACGGCGGTCGGAGGCGGGCTTCTGTGATAAAATCAAATAGATCGAGCATTATGACCGCTCTCCATTCATCCGCGCTTTCTTTTTCGGCTCGCAGTTGGAGGATGAGGGGTGCGCGAGCGCGCGAGGGACATTTATTGAAAAAATAAATCTAGTGAAATATTAAAATAGAATATTATGAATAAAACTCTAATTATTTGTAATTATTATAATATTATTATTTTTATTATTATTATATATTATATATGAAATGAAATTAATATAAAATTATAACACTCTGCGGTACGTGAATGCTTTATGTGTGCGAGTCTTTCCGATGTCGATTGCGGACACGTTGATCCCTCCCCGACGACATATACGCACACACACCCACACACATACACACACACACAAACCGTTCACGCATGTACACGTAAGTATGATATTTTTAGTCCTTGCCAAATTATCTCGCGAAGAACGTTGTGCACACTTTTATACATATATGTATGTATGTACGTATCATATATATATATATGACGTATTATTTTTTCCTCCCCTTTTATTTTCTCTCCTACCCTATTTCTAAAGACACCGGCGTCGCAGGATATATGATGCGCGTGGTATCGAGTAACAGAAAACAGTTTTCAGGAAAAATTTTTAGCAGCAATTGATACATTTGTAGAATCGAGATGAATTGGTGAGTGAAACCTGATTGTATCTCGTTTCGAACGTTCGCAATTTCTTTTTCATTCAGCAAAAAGTTAAACGAAGACACGAAAGAAAGTAGATAGATAGGGATTTATTCTGTGAAACCAATTTGTTTCGCGAATTCCTAAATTATTGAATCGCAGTTTGAAAGATTTGAATACTGTCTCTTGCCTATACATCTCTGAAGTCTTGTAGAAAAAATCAATCAGGGATTTCAGAAGTAAAAGTATTCTTCTTAGAATTAAAATATGTAGATAGTCTCTCGATTAGATAAGCAGAGAAATATTCACTTTCATAGAATTAAATCCTCTTTAATGCAATTTAATTCATCTATTTTCTATAAGAAATCTCTATCGAGCTTATTTCTGCGCTGAAGAAATATATTCTGCTCCACTTGTTAAGTTAAATTAAATTAGTTAAATTGTACTAAAACCTAATGCATTTACGCACATTTTTCTAAATTTTTTTATTCGAGAGAAAAAAATTTCTAAAGTTGATATAATAAAGAAAGGAAGTATATATCTCGTACATCTTGGGTTTCCGGTAAAGAGACTATATGACAATGGAGATGAGAATGGGACGGAGAAATATAGTTTCCCCAAGTGCCCAGTACGACAAAGAACATAACAGATTTATACATGATATAGATGAGGCGGATACAGAGTTGTGTGCGAGTGTAAACGAGTGTGTGCATGAAAGAAATTGTGTTGAGATTTTTTTAAGATACACGCGATCGCGCGAAGGGCAGCGTATAGTCGAATATTTTTAAAAATGTAACACATTTTATTTCCTTAAACAGTGTGAAAGTGATGTATACACGCTAATATGCTAATTATGTCGACATAAAGTTTTATTTGGTAATCAAATAAAGAATATAAATAGGAAAAGTCTATTCTGATTTATGCGCAATATAACTTTGCAGATGACCGATGTTGAAGGAGGCTGATTATGCATGAATTTTCCATTTAAAAAAATTAATTTTTCTAACTTTTATTTTCTATCATAATATTACTTTTTATGAAACCTTAGAAAAGGAGAAGGAGAGGGAAGGGGGAATGTTTCAGAAACAAGCCAGTAAGCAAAATGTTAGCAATGTCGACAGATTGATGTTGAGCAAATGTGATATTAATCTGCCGACACTGCTGAACATTTGGCTGGAAAAACTATTATAGAAATTACAGAAATCATTTACAGAAATCATCGTATATTTGTTTCTGATAATGACACGTCTCAGTAATATTGTACATCTGATGCGCAACAGTTTACTAGCACTAAATATAATAATAATAATAATGCAGAATCACCTTCGATCCCTACGATTCTATACAATTCGTGTAAATTACATAAACGTGGTCGAGTATTGTGGTATGTGGTATCTGATTTTCACGATGCCTCCTCTCGGCCGCGGAGGCGGAATCGATGCAACGCCCGAGCGCGCAATAAATACAATAGAACAACCGCGTGCTTTTATCCATTTCGAATTAAGTCACTGGCAAGTATAATCAATTTATATCTGTAACCTTAGAAAAAGAGAACTTCTTGATTACAAAACAAGCATATAATCGTTATAAAGTCGAAAAACATATTCATTGGTGTTATGTTACGCTCGATACGAAGTACATTGTGTGCCCCAAAAATTCACAAACTTTTTTCCAGCGTTTATCATGCGTCCATCTAGTCTTTATATACATATGACTTTTCGTAGATTTTTGAGAAAAAAAAAGAACAGAGAGCCGGTGTAAAATTGTGTGTTAAATTTGAAAAATTTACAAACTGTATGCAATACATAAAAACGGTCGTAATGAAAATTTTGAATGATGAAAAAAGAATTTTCTCAACACTAATTACACATCGACATAAAAAAGATCAGTTTATGTATTCAAATAAATAATTATTTTGAAAAATAAAATTCAATAAATTTTTTCATCATGTAAAAATATGTTTAAGATTTCCCTCAATTCCAATTCTAAAGTAAGAAAAATTTGATATAACAAATTCGCTAATTTTTGGGGGACACTATATATTATAATACGTTTGTCATTCTAACTGTACTCTTTTG